ATTCAACAAAAGTCGATCTAATCATTTACTTTTGTTGAGGAATTGGTGGAAATTTGATCAGTGTGTATCTAGCTTAACCCCTTCGTGACTGACGACGTACAGTGTATGTCGCCAGCATCGGGGCTGTTTAAACAGACTCCCGGCGACTTTTGCCGCCGGGACTCTGTTTAAACTTGTAGAGCCGACTGTCGGCTTTACAACAGAAGCGATCCTGGCAACTTAATATTAAAAAGCTTGAGACAGCCTAGTAATTAGCATTTTCAAGAGTTTACAGACCATAAATTAACTTGTGTCCATTCAGATCATTGATTTGAACCATGGGAGTCACACCAACAGCGTGCACGCTTGCACACACACATTAGGCAATGCACACACACACACAAATAAAGTGTTGGAAACCATAAATTCTTTTTCATTTAAAGGATTTTTCCCATTTATATGTATTTTTTCTGCAAATATCTCAATATAGTCAGGTGACAATCAAATTGTATTTACAGACTGCAATGTCATTAAAAATTAAACAGGTGCAAAGGATGATGGGTAAAAGAAAAAAAAAAAGGGAAAAAACATGAAATAATTTAAGAACGTCCATCTGACCGATAATAAATTAGTCATAACAAGTAACACACATTACAGAACAAAGGTATTTACATCATCTTGACCTAGTAATGGCATCTCCTGTAGCATACTTTTGTTTCAAAGTCTATAGCTGTGCTTGAAGTTATCGCTGGTAAAAATGTAACTATGTGTAGCAGATGAGCTCAGTAAAACAAAAGATGGAAAAAAAAAAATAGCAAAAAAAAATAGCAAAATGAATAAGACAATATGTGGAATTTGTACACACGTACACTCTGGTACCATAAAGCTTTGTATACAGCACTGTGAACTGCAATCAGAGTACTTTTTTGGCAACTGCATACTTGTTTTGGCCCCTCCCACTGGACACTTGGATTGCAGACCTAAACCATCATCCCGTCAAACCCTGGCGCGGTATTGCAATCTAAAATCCCCACTGGGAAAACAAAATGCATTCAGGAGGCAGCAGTATCGCCTCCTGGACACTGGGAAGCCGTGGCTCCGCTGCCCTCTGAAAAAAAGGTGGTGTAGGCTGCCACTCATTTGGATGAGGCCTAAAGGCAATTTTTTTTGGGGGGGCGGGAGACGTCTTAGGGTCACCATACACGCAACAACCTGACCATACAATCTTTGCACAGTCAGCTTTACACTTACCAAAACCATGTAACATAAGGACCTACATAATCTATCCAATCAGGCAGGCCCTCATACTACATAGTTGTAGGTATATATAAAGGAGACTGTACAATCAAATTGTAATGTGTGTGGTGAGCTTTAGACCGCCCGCCAAGTTTTTGTTTTAGTCTGTGACCCGGGGAGATTCATTCCTCTCTTTGTCCTGGTGACCATTTTCACAGAGACAAAGTATTTTGAGGTATGAGATTTAGAGTTATCATTAGGGATGCATCGATACTGATACTAGTATCGATATCGGTGCCGAAACCGAGTATTTGGGCGAGTACTTGTACTCGCCCAAATGCTCCGATGGCTAGCACGAGTATTTCCTGTATCAGGAAGCCAGGCAGCGAGTCATTACACGCTGCCTGGTTTCCCGATTGGCCGGGAAGTGGCTCCATGCTCACTCATTACTTGTGATGAGAGAGCATGGAGCCGACTTCCCAGCCTATCAGGAAGCCGGGCAGCGTGTAAGGACGTGCTGCCTGGTTTCCCGATTTGTCGGGAAACCGATCAATCAGGAAGCTGGGAGCCGTGTAATGATGCAGCGCCCGACATTCTGATTGGCCGGGAAGCCGGCTTCATGCTCCCTCATCATCTCATGAAAGCAGAAAGCTTTCATGAGAAAGCAGGGCGCCGTGTCTTTACACGGCGCTCGGCTTCCATGGTTGGCCAGCAAGACGGCTCCGGCTGGGTAGCGGGGGAAGACCGTTCCTGGTTAGAGAGGCCCCGGGGGCGACAGGCTGGACATGCCGAGGTGAGAGGGGACGGCTTTCTTGTTAATCGGGAAGCCGGTTGGCGAGTCTTTACACGCTGCCCGGCTAATCAGGAAGCCAGGTGGCGAGTCATTACACGCCACCTGGCTTCCTGAATGGGACTTCCGTTACTCGGTAATTGCTATCGGCGAGTACCGAAATTTTTTTATCGGTACTCGGTACCAAACTACCGGTATCGGTGCATCCCTAGTTATCATGATAGCAAGTTATCATTTTGTCCCCAATGGTGATCAATGTCTAAGAGGAGGATTCTCCTTACTTTGGGGATACTTGCTTTTACTTTGTCTCTCTAAGACATAAGTAGAGGGAAAACTCCCCCCTAACAGGAAAAGGATACCCCCCATAAAAACAAAACAAAAAACACCTGGCAGGGGTTTAACCCTTTCCTAATATAGATATATAGCTATATGGATATAGCTCTATATATACATATATAGATATAGAGCTATATCTATATCAAAAAGTTTGTTGTACATACACCTTAAGCCCCAACGCAATCCGCAAAACTTTGTGGATGGATTGGAGAAGGGTTAACACTTCTGTCAGGTTTTTATTGCCGTTTTGCTTCCTGTCCTGATGACGTGTAAAACGCAAGATAGCAGTCTGGAACATTATATACATGAAAATGCTACTGACAGTCAAAAGGAGGTGGCTATGTGCGGCTATGCAGAAATCTTATCTGAAGCTCCTCCTCCACCCTAACTCTGTAGAGACCCTCTACAGAGAGGCCACTGCTTCCACACAGAAAGCAAGGGTCCTTCTCTGCAGCCGCTGATAGGTTTTTCTACTTTTTTCTAATGAAAAACTCTGCACACTATTTGTTCTAATCATCCTGGAATGCGTTTAGCTGATTTCATATTGTTGCCATTGCTTGCTACCTTTAAAAGGGTACTCTGTCCCTAGAACAAACAAAAAACAAACATAAACTTCTTTAGATCTTTAGTGTAGACACCTAGGGGAGCCCGCACATAGCTGCAGCAGTCAAAATACAACTGAATACTGGTCCATTCTTTGAAACTGTGGCGCTCGATGCCATGCCTCACCCACTCATGTTCCTATTCGCCCATCACTATACTGGGTTGCCTCACTGGCCAATTGCATTGCACTGGAGAAAGGATGAGGCGGGCAATCTGTGGCACCAGGAACTTCTGGAGTTTTGACTTCCAGAATGGCCTGGTATTCAGTCTTAGCTACAAGCATTTCAAAGGGTGCTGCAAGTATGTGCAGACACATAGCTGCAGCAATTGTTTGCTCTAAAAACAGAAGGGGGGATTTATCAAAACTGGAGCAGACAAAATCTGGAGCAGATTTGCATGGCAACCAATCAGCTTCTGTTTCTCATTTTCAAATCTCAACTGAGCAAACTGAAGAAAGATGCTTATTTGGTTGCCAGGGGCAGCTGCTCCAGTGTAACTATCATGAGACACACAAAGGGGCTGTCATTACTGGTCTCCTGAGAATGCTTGCTGGCCTGCAGCAAATTAAAGGAAAAGGTCAGATATTCTCAAATCTTTGCTAGTATCAGGTCAGTGACTTAAAATATAATAAACCAGGCAATAAGCATTTTCAGAAAGAGTCAGCAATTATAACCTCTAGAATAATCTCATGACATTCAACCACCACTTTTTCATGATGTGAAAGTTACTTTCTCTATTTTGCTGCTGTGATCAAACAAGCATTATGGAAAACTCTTTAAACAAATGACAGATTCTACAAGTAGGGATGAGCTCAGGTTTGAACGGAACCCAGTCTGAACTTGAGCTCCTCCGCACAAGGAAGTGCCATGGGCACTTTCACCCAATTAGCTGCAGCACGGCATTTCCCGCCCCGCAGCTGCATGTTCACAAAGGGGCAGGATGCTTGTGCTGACATAATTTACCTAAAAGGTTCACATAGCCGTATTAGGTAAACATCGTTTACTAAATCTGGGCATGTAGCCATATGAGGTCAATGACATCACCGAATCCAACTCCTTGGCTAATGTCAAGCTGCAGACAGGGAATTCCCCAACAGCAGCTAATTGGGTGGTACAGTAGGAGCTTCCATCCGTGTTTAGGAGGAGCTCCTTCCATGTCCAGGGGAGCTCAGTTTACGTCCAAATCTTAGTTCACCCCTATCTACAAGTAGCAAATGTCACCCAAGTGGTACCAAAATACAGCAAAATACCAAAAGTGGTACCCAAATTTGTTGCACTGTTTGCGAAAGTGCATAGTGCAGTAATTTTGAATGCAAGAAACTCAGAAAAGAGGCGTTTTCACACAAATGAACATCTACTAAAAATGCCATTACCGCAACCATTTACCATTGGTAACTCATTAGCGTGATCACTGCATGGCAAATGTTTGGTGACTGCATTAATGCATAGGTGTGTACAAACTCCCACTTCTTAAAATCACCACTACCCATTTGAATGTCAAGGAAATTCCAGTGGTTTGTTAGCCACCTTGGTGCCTATCCAGACTAGTACAACATGCTGTCAAATTTCCTTTTATGATATGTTCTGACCAAAACTTTAACTGAAAAATGCAATAAGAAATGTCTGATTTTATACAGATTTGGAAAAAAAACGAAACCAAAACTGAGGACTGCTACGAAGTATGAGGTAAACTGAAGACTCTTCACTATGCAGTCTTCAAGAAAATGGCTTTAGTTATCTGTCGGTTCCAGTTGGCGCACCACAGTGATTTTGCTAGCGAAGCTTTTAGCATTCTTTTGCCAGAACTGCCTGTATATACACTGTATACTGCGTCAGCAAAAATATATATTTATATAAACAAAGAGGTCATGCCACCACACTTTCAGAATATTAGTGTTTTCCTCTAACTCCCAACAGAGTTCCAGTATTCCAGTATCCTGTGTCCCGCTTCTAAAAGGGAATTCAACATTCCCTTTTTGTTTTTTCAAAAGCACTGTTCAAACTATTTTTCTCAAATGATCCCCACCCCCATTTTAGTACCAGGAAATATGATCCCTCTATAGCTGGACAGTTGAACCAAAAAGCGCATAAAAGTGGCCAAAGCACAGCCATTTCGTAAAGCCAAGCTTTCAGCCAAAGGAAATCACAGGGGTTGAACAGACTTTGAGCTGTATGTTCCGTAGTGTTGGGGACTCTTCGGCTACCAAATCTCTGTGCTGTTTATCCTCGAATGAATCATCTCTCTTAAAGTGAGGCCAGCCCCACTTGGCTTTGAAATGCTCCTAGGTCATAGACAAAGTTCATAAATACTCTTGGTTTACTCTTCATTTCCTATTCTTGCAGACAATGAAAACAGAAGTTGGGTACAGTAATAAAGGTCAGTTTTGCTTGTCAGTGTAAAGCGTTCATCACGAGTCCACGTCACAGTGCAGACCTGACGGCATAAATATGCTCAGGAGATCAGTCTATGATATTTGTATTTGGTTGTGGAAAGAAAGGCTCTCCATTTGATCCAAAGTGCATAGTGAGAACATGTTAATGTCTAATATCTTCTCCGTTCTCTTGTCCCTTTTCAGGTGTTCTCCTGAGAAGGCAAATGTCCTTGGAGGTTTCAAAGAACCCCTTCCCCTCCTCCCCTCCCGACAAATATAGAATGTTCATTGCAATAAAAAGGTCTTGTGGATCCCCCTATACATCAGCCAGGTAAACATACTTTGCCTGCAAATAATAGTCCCACTATAGTAAAGAAAATGGATAAAACAAAAAGTACATAAGAGGACCCAACTACGGTATTGTTGGGCAGTTTGTAAGGTTGTCCACCAACTTCATTGATGTAAAATCCTATGGGGAATATTAATGCTGCCATACAGAAAAGTATCACTGTGGGGAAAAAAAAAAAGACAGGGAAGAAAAAAAAAAAATGGTTAAAATATATAGATTGCTTTACATTCCAGAAAACATCATACGTTCCACAAGAAACAATGTGCAACTGTGTCCAGCCTATGGACCTAAAAGAATCCAGCTTATGGACCTAAAAGTATTTACGATTTCTAAACAATCAGTAGCACAGCTTTACAACAAGCCCTCCCTGACATCTACCTGGCTGTTGTGTGAATTAACTCATTCTAATAGATTTTCAAGGATCACAAAAATTCTGTAATAGAAAAGGTATGCACTTAAAGGAGAACTATGAGGTGAGTGCTTTTCACTCAGCTCATAGTTCTAGCCGACCTCTGACAATGAGACTGTCACAGGTCGGCTCAGTAGATCGGGAGGTGAGCGAACACATACCGGCGTTCGCTTACCTCTCGAACCTGTCACGGCTTTCTGCCGTGACAGGGGAGGGGCTGGATTCCCCCCCCCCCGATCCGCCATTGCTGACTGGGGGAACGGACGGGGGAGGGGGCGGGTACAGCTGGCTCTGCCTCTTGAGAGGCAGAGCCAGCTGTCAGTCACGCAGCTGGGCGGATCCCGGCACAATTGTCAGGATCTGCTTCAGCTGCGACGTCTCAGTATACCGCGAGCTACAGCTCGCGGTATACTGAGCCTAGGGTGACGGGAGGAAGCTAGTTTGTGTCCTCCCGTTACCCTAAGGAGAACTATGGGGAAAAGCCTTAACCCCATAGTTCTCCTTTAACGCATGCTGTCACGCAGCGCACCTAGCGTACAGTACTGTGTGCTAGATGCATTGTCATTCATTTACATGGCATCCCAATGTACTTCCTGGCTATGTGCTGCAGCACAAGGTACTGCAATACCATGTGTGATAGCCTACGCATAGTACAACACTATAGTGTGAACGGGCCCTTAGATTTCAGTACTTCTGTTGTGAGTTTCTTCGCAATGCCCATAGCTACAGAGGTGATTGAGGATTTTGTTTTCAAATGCTTATTCAGAATATGTAAATTCTTTAGTATTCATCCAGGCAAAAAAGTAACTAATGTAAAGCTGATGCAGCTCAGCAGTAGATGCATTTTCCATTTACTTTCTACAGCTCCATATAGATGGAATTTAGGGAAAACAGCAATGCTCTTTACACTTTGGTTTCTTCAATAAAAGGAGTGTACGCTCCATTGAAATAAACATAGAATATACCACAAAGCTGAGACAACAAACATCTTGGCGTCTACATTACATTCATGGCCAGTCACAGATGTGCTGGGGGAGTATCTACCTGCTGGGCTCCAGGACTGCAAGGAGAACTTGTGAAAAAAAATAAAAATGTAAAAATCCATTTGGATCTACTCTTTAATTCTCCAATAGAATGCAGGCTCTTGTAGAATTAAGATGCACTCTGTAAGACCTCAGTATACGAAGGGGGAATTGTTATGCAACACTTACTGCCAGTAAATGCTATCCATCGAGCATATTTTGTAGCTTCTCTCCTCCAGTGGGATGCCACTAGCAAACCACATGTAACAGTCAATGATATGATTCCCATGATGATGAAAAATAGTGTTGTAACCCACTCCGGTGGGAGCCTGGGAGGAATACAGATCCTGTCACGTCCATGTATGGTCTGACACTGCCTGACAAGACCCACCGTGAGAGCACCTGTAAAGTAAGAAAGAATACATTAACACTGTAAACAATTTTCTTTGGTGTACAATACACAATGTGCATACTGTATATAAAATGCTACAACCTTTAAAGAAATAATCCATCTTACCATTATAAAACATTAAGGCACCGTTCACACTGAGCGATTTATCGTGCGATTTTTGCAGCGATATCGCTCATATTTCCGCGCGATATCGCTCTATGTAGCTTCTCCAATATATTTCAATGGAGCTGTTCACATCTCATCGCTCAATATCGCTCGTCGCTGGTAGCTTGTCGCTCCTACATGACCCTTTTTAGAGCGATTTTGCTCCTGATTGCATACAGCCCAATAGGAAAAAGTCGCGACACGTCGCTCAATATCGCTCGTCACGCAATATCGCTCAAAGTCGCGCGATTTTCATGTCGCTCAGTGTGAATGGGGCCTTAGAGGCTCATCCATTGTTTATCTAAAAATATATATAACGCTGAAACCTTTGTTTCCCCCATTTTGGACAGAGTAGGGAAAGTGTAAAAACTTTGCCAGGTTTTTTTTTTTGCCATCTGTGTCCCCTTTAAAAGGATCTCACATTACTTCCTGTCCTGTAGACAAACAGGAAGTGAGAGCAAATCTCTCCAAAGTTTTTCCTTTTAAGATTTGAATATTTAAAACCACCACAAAACACATTATAGCTGGCCACACACAAGCTAGTTGGAAAATCTCCTTTATCTTTACCAATAACTATGAGGTATGAGAGACAATCTTATAGTATATAAACTAGGTATGCACCGATAGTGGTTTTGCTGTATCAAGTACCGATATTTTACTTTCGGTACTCGCCGATACAGAGTACCGATACAGGTGCTTCCGCTGGTATGGAGCCGGCTTCCCTGGCAATTTGGAAGCCTTGCGGCATGTAATGACACGCTGCCCGGCTTCCTGATTGCCCAGGAAGCCGACTCCATGTTGTTTGGCCGGGAAGCAAGTCATTACTCGCCACCTGGCTTCCTGATTGCCCAGGAAGCCGGCTCCATGTTCCCCTACGACACTGCCTTTCAGAGGGCATTTTCCAATGACCGGAGGTTCCGGTATCGCGGAAAGTATGAGAGCATTTGGGTGAGTACGAGTACTCGCCCCAATACTCGGTATCGGTGCATCCCTAATATAAACTAAACTGATTGTTAAGTTAGGCCCCCAACATCACATAGTTGTTAGTAAGTCAAAAGGAGATTGCACAGACACTGCACAAATAAACTGTAAGGCTTTACAAGGCTAAAGATGACAGTAAGAAGATGAAAGCTGTGTAAGGATTAGTGGCAATGGGGCAACATGAATAGTTCTAACTTGGATATGTCAGCACAGAAACATAGTGTTGGCTTCCATAAATGGTGCGTATGAAAGCACAGTTAGTTATGGGACCCCATGTGCAGTGTGACAGATTGTCCTCTGTGCATCATCCTCTTGAGCTGCCTGTGCATTTCAACTCTGGAATCATCAGCACGTCCCTCTGTAGTCTGTTGCAGGGAGCGCACACAAATGGGTAGCTCCACAGGACCTTGCAAAGGAAGGAGGAACCCTGGTACAGCAAATCTAGGCCAGTGCTAAGGGGACCAGTAGCATAAGGACATTTTTACTACATTCAGAATCTGAACACATTGCAAGTCGGACAACTGCAAAAATGCATTTAGTCATTGATTCTCTTTCAGGTATCAACCAAGTTCATATCATAAACCTGCTCTCCCCCTATCAGACTGGTGGACCATGTAATTGTATTTTCCTTACTCTTTCCAGCATCTCAAAAGATACATGCCATTTGCCAACAAAGTGTTTTCTATAGTAAGGACTAGGACAAAGCATATGGTCTACAGCAGGGATGCCCAAACTCCGGCCCTCCAGCTGTGGTGAAACTACAAATCCCATGAAGCATCACTCTCCGGGAGTCATGTCTGTGGCTGTGAAAATCTTGCAAAGCCTCATGGGATTCGTAGTTCCACCACAGCTGGAGGGCCGCAGTTTGCACATCCCTGGTCTACAGAGTTAAAAGTCCCAATTCTTCCGGATTGGTTGTATACACGACTTAAGCTTTGGACCTCCTGAGTAGTGATGAGGCTGGGCTGGACTCTCACTCTGGACCCTCAAGCAAACTTGCTCAGAACTCTCACCACAACCAACTCCTCCTGACCTAATCAGTTGTGGAGAGGCGCATTCCCGCCCCGCAGCTATACATCACAAAAAGGCAGGGAACACCCGCAACTGCTGCCACAGATTGGGTCAGGAGGAGGAGCGTGGTAGTCAGTTTTGAGTGGTCTTGCGAACTAAGCGTTCCACACCAAGCCCAGCCTCATCTCTACTCATGTGTTCCCTGACTGTAGGCATAACAGTAGCAACCCTGCCTTATACTAAACATGTTCTATCATGCTTTTATAAATGGCATGGCCTCCTTTCCATGTTTCCTCAGGAAAGTTTAACAGAACTTGAGGGTATCTCCCACATGTCACATTAGTGAGAAACCCAGTAATGGACTGGGGGACCACACTAAATGGAAATATGATACAAGGTTATGGACAGTCCAAATCTCTCCCATCTTTTCCCACCACTTACATACATTTAGAGTTTTATTAAACTACTCAACCATGTCTGACCTCTGCGCCTGTCTGAGCGCGATAAAGAGAAGTACTTAAACTTAGAATTCAACCATTTACACAAGTCTTTTATAACCTTGGACATAAACGAAGTCCCTTTATCTGTCATGTGGAGCAATGTCATGTGTTTTGGCTTTGTAAGAGCCTGAACTGACCCAAAACCAATTATTGTTCCCTTAAAGATCATAAAACCTTTAAAACCACAAGGCCACTATCCAAATTGTTTGTTTTATATAATCCAACTTGTTCTATTCTTTTTTTTTGTCCTTGAATCTTTTCTCAGCTATAGCACTAATCGTATGAGGCTGACTGACTAAAAGATTCAAACATTAAAAGGAGAACTATGACATGAGTGATTTCCACTCACGTCATAGTTCTAAGCCGACCTGTGACAATGAGACTGTCACAGGTCGGCTCAGTAGATCGGGAGGTGAGGGAAAACATACCGGGTTCCCTCACCTCTCGATCCTGTCACGGCTCTCTGCCGTGACAGGGGGAGGGGCTGGATTGCCCTCTCCCAGCTCCGATCTGCCAGCGCTGACTGGCGGAACGGACGGGGGAGGGGGCGGGTACAGCTGGCTCTGCCTCTAGATAGGCAGAGCCAGCTGTCACTCACGCAGCTGGGCGGATCCCGTCATCTAAGTCGGGATCCGCTCCAGGTGCGGCGTCTCAGTATACTGAGCTTAGGGTGACGGGAGGACGCTAGTTTGTGTCCTCCCGTTACCCCAAGGAGAACTATGGGGAAAAACACTGACCCCATAGTTCTCCTTTAAACAGGTTCTTTCATGTATCCAAAACTTGCATTATCATCCCATTGACAAACAAGTCAAATTGTATGCTTTGGTGGTCAGCTTAAATGCTCTTGCTTCATCCTCCTTGCTTATGGGATCACATACACATTAACAGTCATAAGTGCAAAATGTCAATATTAAAAAATAGGATTGAAACATTTACATTGCTGAATGCCTAAATGTTTTATTACCAGACGAGTCTTGGCAGGGCATCAAAAGCCATTAAGTTAGTTGGAGAGAGGCTAATAGGTTATCTGCTTGAATGCACAGATGTTTGCCAGTATATTGCGAATTCAAAGATCAGGAGGAAGCAAGTCAAGACTTGACCAAATGTGATTAGTGTGAATCTCTGCTCTTCAGTGAGACTAATGAATAAAACGTTTCATTCTCTACTCATGGACAACAATGACACAAGTTCTCCATGCCAGTTAAAGGAACATTACTTTCATATTGTTCAATGGTTATGCAGAAGAGGAATGCATTTGTTATCTTATAGCATTTTACGTACAAGCCAAATTATACACAATTAAAAAAATGATTTGTGCTGGCAGGAAAGACGATGTTCATTCACTAGGTAAGCTGTTTTTTTTCATGAAAAAGTCCTTTATATTGTGCTAAACAATTATGTCCATAAGTTATCTAGATACTTTTTAAAGCTCTGACTTGTAAATCAATCCATGCCGAATCTCCTGATGAGCAGTATTCATGAATTACTGGTTGTTTCGACCAGGGAAGTGTAAAGAAGTGAATTTATTTATTAAAAAGGTATTTATATAGCGCTGAATGTACACTGTGCACAATCACATCAGTCCCTGCCCTCGAGGAGCTTACAATCTAAGGTCCCTATCTCACATGCATAAATACGTGGGACAATTTAGACAGGAGCCAATTAACCTTCCAGCATGTCTTTGGAGTGTAGGGGAAACCAGAGTACCCAGAGGAAACCCACGCAAGCACAGGGAAACATGCAAACTCCTTCCAGAGAGTAACTTGGCCCAGATTCAAACCAGGGACCCCCCAGTGCTGCAAGGCAGAAGCACCAACCACTATGCTTCTGCAGATTTCTTCACTGCTGGTTATGGGATGGCCAACAGGATCCATGAAACTGCACCTCACCTCCTGGTTAAGCATCTACCTCTTTGCCGGCGTCGTTATGTGCCATGACAGACCAGTGGCCACTGCTGGTGCTGCATTGAGAGCCTGCCCACATTCCGGGGGTTGGATGGGAATGAGAAAGATCGCTGGCTGCCGCAGGACTGAGAAATAAAGTAATTGTTCTGCATTGCACTCCCCTAGATGAAATACAGAGTAAATGTATGATTATACAGTGGGAAAGGCAGGTCACTCTAATCACGATTTTCTCATTTTATACCTGGTTCACACTATGGCGATCAATAACCGTGTGGTTTCGTGCACGAAACCCTATTTTTTAAAATAGGGTGATCAATGACCGCACAGCAATCGTACACGAAACCACAGTGTCACGGAATCGCCCACCACCAATTGCGCGGAGGGTGCCACTATTTTCTAATGGCACCCCGTCGCGCCGGGGGACTGTGCGGTTTCCCACTGTGATTCCGC